AATAATCATTGTACATAGCTGTACACCGCTTTGCCACTCTTTCACATGCGCGAGTTGTCGAGTGTCATGGGTGGCTTATGGTAACACCGAACGATTCCACTGCTTCGCCCACTAACCGCCATTCACTTCGTGGATATCCCGTGATTTTAACGTTAATAAACGGTGATAAGGGCACGATGTGTACGCAAAAGGAGGGTTTGCTTACACGCCGCGTTGGGCTAGTGGCAGTGCTAGACTGGTAGCACGAAGGTAGCAGGATCGAATCCCAGCTTTAACGACCGCGTTAAGATGAATACTAAAGGTAGAAGTAGGCTGAAGACGAAGCAGAAAGAAAATGTGGCATCGGTTCGAGAAATGCCAAAGTGGAGTTACTAGTCGAGTTCACAGGACGCCATAATCTAGGGATCTAGAATACCATCTGCTGCAGATAATGGGATAACCGTAAAGGAATGTGAAAGAGTCCCAATGGCGTAATTGAAAATGAGATGGACTTCATTCTGTGTGTACACCCGAGAATCGTACAGGATGTCACGGTGGTTGGAAAGACCCGATAAAGTGATCATAGCATAGTAAGGTCTCATATTAACCTATAGACTTGAGAAAGAAACAGCACAAGCTGACACGCAAGAAGCCTAATGAGCTAGCGGTGAGAGGGAAAGTCGAGGAATTCGGAGTTTTGCTTCAGAATAGGTTCGTGGCTCTAAATGAGGAAACCAACGTTAGCTTTGACACAACAAGTGACAATATGATAAGTATCATTAAGGACACTGGCAAGCTATCACAGAAGACAAAACACCTCACAAAGAAACGTCAAACAATGGAAGCCTCCAATGTAACAGACAAAATAGATCTGGTGGAGCTTTCGAAGTTAATCAATGTAGCCGACATAAAAAGGTATAACATTACGAGAATCGAGCATGCTCTAAAGAGCGGAATTAAGAAGCGTCAAGGCTCGGAAGACAAAACTGTGCATAGGCAAAATTAAGATGTATGCTTTAAGGAAGAAGGAAGGCGAAGTCACTATACCAATATAGATAAGGTAGCATTTGTAGGAGAGGCGTTCTGTGCAGCAGCCGATACAATCTGGAAAATAATGTCAGAATTCGTTGCCGCCCAGAGGAATCAGGCATCAAACCAGTCTGACAGGGGAATTAAAGCGAGCCCTAGAGGGAATGAAAAGCCGCAAAGCCACTGGTGTACATCAGGTGACATCAGACTGAATCAAAGACGGTGGACAGATTGAGTCAGAAAAGCTGACCACCCTGTATACGGAGTGTCTCTTGACGTGGAAGGTACTCGAATCTTGGAAGAATGCCAACATCATCTTGATGCATGAAAAAGGGGACACCAAGGACTTGAAAAATTAGACGCCGATCAGCTTACTGCATGTCATCTTTAAGGTATTTACAAAAATGGTCGCTAATAGAATTACGACGACTTTAGAGGTTGATCAACCAAAAAACCAAGCTGGATTACATAAAGGCTACTCAACAATACACATTATTTATACTATTGTAGAAGAGAATTACTTTCGCATTCCAGTCGTTTGGAAATTTATTTCACACATGAAAAGTAATTTTCGCTTTGAAAACGTCTTATAAGCTAATGCGTAAGAGGCCCATCGATTTTTAAGGGCGAAGCACTTCAGAACGTAACCTTGTCATCCATTGTGGTAACTGTATAAGACATTTGCTATAGTATAAACATAAATGATACACAAACAAATGTTTCATAATAGACTTCAACGTAGACATAGGCTAATTATAAGGCAATATATTGCTGTTTCCATCAAAAATAACCTATCGGGAAGAGTATTGATGAGTTGACCTGTACTCAAATTCGCCTTGATGTTGAGGCTTCTCAAGGAAACCTATAGCTCAAAGACACACGCCAAGCACTATAGCACTTTAGGTACCAACAAATTACCCATATTACAATGGTATCTGACCACCAGTAAGATGGCTGCTTACTAGATTGACTTTTGACGCATATCCTCCCCACCAGCAATTTTATAAATTCTCCTCATTACAATTGGAAAGGGAAATAAATTTGCATTCCTAGATGCACTCTATGTCACTCAATTTACATTATATGAGGCAACGCTCGGGTAACCAATGGTTACTGACCGATAAAATACCCAGATCTTCGCCCACTCACCGTGATCCACATTGTGGAGAGGCATTGATTTTTCTTCTTCCGTAGCTTTTTCTTGGAGCGCAGTGGTGGCCGGGCGTCGAGTATGCATGGTTATACACTACTATTTAATACTGTAATGAATAAAAATGAATAAAAATATCAGATATAGCAAACAAGGTTAGAAAGCGTATTTTTGAGTGTGAACTCCACTGCATAAAATAGTGTAATAAATACTTGGTAGCAAAAAATAGTGAATAGTCGCGAAACTGAGAGTTACTGGGGTGTCGCACACATACGAAACGGCTTTAACGTCTACTTATGAAGTGAAAGACACACAATCACACAATATAACTGCGCCACTAACTCTATTGAAAGAATCACAGTCTCGTCATGCGCATGCTCTCGGTGCTTAATGAGGTCTCGTAATCTCGACTGATAGTTTTTCAGGCTCCCGTGTCACGCGATACAGTTTTTGATTCGAGGTTGAAATAGCTGTTTGTTCCTATCAAACACTTAAGTGATCATTCAGCACGGTCGTTTGTACCCCTCCTTCGTCTTTGAACGCCTTTATGATATTGGCCAATTTTCGTGTACTTACGCTTTTCTCTCAGAATCGAAAGAGAAGTCAGGACTTTCAGGTATAAGTGGTGCCTCCAGATCAAGAATGTTGGTACAAGGGAACGCGGCTAAGCTAGACCAAGTGCCAATAAACCCCCTCCTTCTTGAAACATGGCTGGAGCACGTCCACTGCCTCATCTTCGGCACCCACGTTAAAACTAGAGAATTGCACATGGTGTCATACAAGGCCTCCGAGATGCAGGTGTAACAGCTTAATCATGCGGCTCGTATTCGGACTCGGCCTGGCTACAGGCTGGTGGCGAATTTCATAGCGTAGCTCGCGCGTTTCTGTTATGCAATGAGATGCGCTCATTGACACACGGGCATGAGTATAAAAAGTTTCTTATGTTTATCACACCTTGGTTTCGCCATTCAAGTTACTTGGCGAGAGTGGAACCAGAGATAATTTATCAGTGGCTCGTGGAACCATAAGAAGGGGCCCGCGCAACCTCAAGATTCCACGGAACCCGCTTTTAGAAATCATGCTCGTGATAATTAAACAGGGCTTGCCCCTTCAAGTCTGATGAAGTAAATGTCATACTAACGCTGGCGCGAATATACGGGTGAATGTATTTCGCCGAGTTGACGCAAACTTAAGATTATGGAAAGAAATGAACTGCGTTTCTAAGCCCGAATTTGCCACGTTTCACTACTTCAACAATGTACCTATATTCAATATAAATACAGTCCCCTACGTTATTTATGCACTATTACTTATGCAAACTCATACTTCATGAGCCAATCGTACTAACAGCACCTTGTTCTACGTGGCTGTCAAGTTCAGCACAGCCTGTCTGATTTTTATTTGCTGCTTCAGTGAAAAAATGGGAATCTCCATGCAGCCAACTCTAACGTAGGCCTAGTTTCCTATGTTTCTACGTATAAAAAAAGAAAGAAAACAGTCCTTTAGGATGACTGCCAGTTGAGCGCGTTGGCAAAGGTTCATGATGAAACAAGCGCAGAAATACACACACTCAGAGAGGACACAGACAAGCGCTTACTAGGAACTGAACATTTTATTTTGAAGCGAACACTAATAAATACATCACACGCATGTACGTGATTCCCGACTTCCCCTGTCATCATCAACAACGTGATATAACAAAATATGCACGCGCCCACAGCCGGAAACAAACCCGTGCCAAGAACTATGAAAAGAAAACGTAAAACAAAAAAAAACAAAGAAACAAAAAACAAAAAAACGTAACACAGAGAAAAGCACTGGGTTATGTGACGTCCAAAAAAGCTAATTGCGCATCTGTTATAGTAGAATTGACGCTTGACTGACGCAACTGTCCCCTTCTTTCCTTATTTTATACGCTTCCATTATTTCTCTCGTCGTCCGCTTGTTGTGTGTGTCAATTATTCGTGTGTCGGAAAATTTCGGTTGGCGTCAGTCAAGCGTGAGTTCTACTAACAGATGCGGAATTTGCTTTTTTGGACGTTACATAACCCAATGTTTTTCTCAGTGTTATCTTTTTTTGTTTTTTGTTTTTTTTCTGTTTTACGCTTTACCTTTCTTAGTTCTTGACACGTGTTTGCTTCCGGTTGTGGGTGCGTGCATATCTTGTTACATCACGTTTTTGATGATGACAGGGGAAGTCGGCAACGACGTACATGCGTGTGATGTATTTATTAGTGTTCACTTCGAAATAAAATTTTCAGTTGCTAGTAAGCGCTTGCCTGTGTCCTCTCTGAGTGTGCGTATTTCTGCGCTCGTTTCATCATGAAAACAGTCCTACTCGCGACAGTCCGTCAAATCGAACGTAAGCTATCTCCTTTCAGTCAGCAGTTTGTCGGTCACATTACTGACCTAGAACCGCGAGAGGAGGTGGGGAAGGGAGGGTCAAAGCGCGAAACGGACGACGTCAACAAAGGTGGACGAACGTGTGTCCACGCTTGTCCACGACGTTTGTTTAACGCTTCACACTCCTCCCCTTCATCGGTAATATTGCTACGCCAACAAGCCCAACCTAGCACCCTTCTAATCTACCGATATGTATTGTGACGAAACGCTGCGTAAACGTAAAGCGCGATGGCGATGAGACCTCTAATCTGCACAGTAGGCAAATGACGTACTCCCATGTTATGCAAAACGCTCTTGTTATTGCTGTTGTTGGCGGGAAGAGAAGAGCCGTAGAGGCTGATAGCATCGCAAAACAATGGGACCATTTTCTTTCTGGGACCAAGATATTTCGGAGCAGTGCAGCAAAGTCCATTGAGCCGTACGCGCGCGTTGCAAGCACTGCACGATCCTCAATTTCTTCTTACATCCCGGAAAAAGATGGCCGTAGACCTCAAGGAGTTAGTGCACAGCTTTGTGGAGTCAAGCTCCCAGGATCTGTGGGAACTTAGTCGCTTCGTGTGGGCGCACCCGGAGCTCGAATTCAATGAGGTCCAGTGTCACGACTGGCTCACGGACTTTCTGGAACGACGCGGCTTCACGGTGACCCGTAGCTACCTCCTGGACACGGCCTTCAGAGCCACATTCGAAGCTCCCGGTGGCACACAAGGTACGCTCCGTTCCTTTTCGCGCTTGGCTGGTGCCTAATGGAATTCAAGAATTGAACAGTTGTTCGAAAGAGTGTTTATCAGAGTACGTAGAATAGTACTTTAAGGATTCTGTACTGTCAGGTGATGCTTTCAACGCTCCAGCAATTATATCGACACTGAAGGCGCATTTATGCCATTCTTTATTTATTTATTTATTTATTTATTTATTTATTTATTTATTTATTTATTTATTTATTTATTATTTAATTGTTTATTTATTTATTTATTTATTTATTTATTTATTTATTTATTTATTTATTTATTAGTGCAACCTACATCGCCCAAGTGGGCATTATTGTAGGGGAGGCGAGGAAAAAAAAAAGCAGTATTACAGTCGAACAAAGTGCACGCTTGCGCAGCAGCTCCTGAGCATTCACTAAAAGCACAAATCTTGTAGTCACGAACAAAAAGCATCAGATAAAAGATAAACAGCACACGTATTCAAACTATTTCATTCGCGAATGGTAAAAGGGAAAAAAAAAAGAATTTGCAAAGGCACCAGTATGGTTGCTGACCTCGTGGATTTTTTTTTTTAGTGATCATTTCTATGTGACACATAGTGTGGGCTCATCATGTATAAACTGTTATTAATGCGGATTTCATCACAGAATATATAGAATGAAAAAAAACTTTATTCGCGAGAATTTCGACATCACTGTCATGTTCCGTAAAAGAAGTATAAATCGGTTACATACCTCTATGCGTATGTCCTATGCGCGGGCGAAACCATGCGAGTGTTGAAGACGGGCACAGCTCAAGCAGAGACAAAGCGCGCCAACCAGCTCCACCGGGTGAAGGAGCACGAAAGGCTGCCGGTGAGAGGCTGCTTCACTGAGGGCGGTAAATGCAAACTTCGATCAAAAGTGCGCGGTCGCGCATGGTACCTCGATAAAAATTAGTGCATCGCTTTTGCTCTTGTACGTTTTGTGTCACCCCACCCGACTTCGGGTTGAAACAACAGACAGATTGAAACCACTTCACTCCCTGGGGGGCGGGGAAGGGGCGCATTCCCGAAAACCTGCCTTTTTTGTAGAACTACACAGGTTTCGGTCTTTAAGGTGTTGTCTGTTAGCCTGATCTATATAGCATTCGAATTATTTGCTGTTGAATTCATTGCTTGGCGCTTGCGGCGAAACTGTCACTTGTAACAATGGAGCTGTTTCAGCCGGTCGTAATGTAGCTGCCGAATCGGAAAACTGTCGTAATCATGAGCCGACACATGCTCTCTTCGCCCTCCTCTTCATCTTCTTCTTCACTCCCTGAATGCGTGGGCTGATTCGTCCGAAGGGGATAGCATTACCTCGGTTTGGCGAACGAAAGAGTGCGGAGAAAAAAAAGGAATCAGAGAAAGACTATGAGGGAACTAGCGATACAAACGAAAATAAATAAACAAATAGTTAGAAGGTGGGAGAACGAGTAGGGAGATAGAGAGGTCAAAGAAGAAGAGATATATATAGAGAAAGAGAAGCAAAAGGAGCAAATAATGAAAAGTCACAGAATAAGAGAGAGGAAGATATACAAAGAAACATACAAAAAAAGAGGTAGCGAGAAAGAGACAGCAAACACACTCATGTATAGAATAGTGAGGTTCGAGTGGAAAAGCACAGGGCCGTGGGAGTGACGAGAAGAGAAAAGAGAAGGTGAGGGGGTAAAGTGTAGCACAGTCTTGTATAGTATAGCAAATGACGAGAAGGAAGTAATGAACAGGACGAGGGAAAGTGGGAAGGACGAGAGTATAGCAGTCTTGCGAGACGTACTAGAGAGTGGGAAGGGGAAGTTTGGATGGGGACGAGAGGAAGAAGGAGAGCAACTTCCCCAGATCTGCCACTTTCTCAGTCTTCGCACTGTTAGTTCGCAGTGGCTCATATTTATTTTTTGTAGTTTTTTGTAAGCCCGAAGTAAGAGTCGCAATCTGTCCTCGTGATTGGCTTAGTAAGTGGGGAAGAATTCAGCTGGGGCGTTCAAATTGCCGAAACTTTCAAGTTTTCATGTGTACACGCAAAATGCGGACACACGCGTAAACATACGTGAGGGTTGCTTGAACCAGACCTCGCTTTAAAGTTTTCGGTTTACGACCACACTGCCCAAGTTTTTGTGATGGATGTGCCGTGAATAACTTATTAGGCCATGTCGCACAAATGAAAATTACCTGAAGAAAAATCATATGGAATAATCATATTCTTATTCTGTTTACGTACAGAACCAATGCAGAGACTAAAGACCACGCGGTCTCTTCTGCTCCTGATGCAGTTCTGCGCGCATATGCTAGTTACAAAATCACTCGGACACATGCCCAGGCTGAGTGCGGCGCAATAGTATACATAACAATTTTCAACGTTAGAAAGATTCCAACGGAAAGATTGCAACATAAACAAGAACGCCCTCTTTAAATGCAACGTGAATTAGAGCAAAGGTTTGCAGCGACTAAAATAGTGGCAGGAAAAGACGCCACCGCCCTTTGCTGCACGTGACGTCACATGTGCCACGGCAAAATGGCGGCCACCGGTGGTGGGTGGGACATACAGCCAGCGGCTTGCCTGTTTTGCATTGAAATATTCTTTCACGGCCCACTTTTCTTACATGCACAATCGTGATAGACCTCCCACTTTTAGTTGCTCGTTGAAAACTACCAATTGTTGGCTGAACGTGTCATTGCATAATTGCTTACATTTTTTCTTACTTTACTAGGTTGTTCACTCATCTTCTCTCTCCCGCTCACTTACTTACTGGCTGGCTCACGAATCGACTGACTGATCTACTGAGAGACCAACTGACTCACTGACTGATTGACTGACTGAATGCCTGGCTCACTCACTCACTCACTCACTCACTCACTCACTCACTCACTCACTCACTCACTCACAGCTTCCACTTTTGTTCGCAGCACTCGCCATGTGCCCCTACAGTGCGCAAGTTTTCCTGAGTCAACCTCTCCTATTCCTTATTTCTGGCTTGTTCTCCGCGGATCACGTCATTACTTCTAATTCTTTTCTTGTCGCATGCCTTACCAACGTCTTCAAAGCAGCTTGAAGCGTTCGGTTCCATCAGGTCAGAGCTCCAGACATTGTGCAAAGAACGGCTAGTTTTATGCCGATCATCGCAGGCGTACTTGAAAAAAAAAAAGATAACGACAAAAAACTTAAGAGCCCCATTTCCAGCGCCCTTCCGATGAAATATTGATATTATACTCGCAAAACAAATAATATCCTTTTGTTATCTCGTAAAGTCATTTGAGAAGCACAGGAAGACATTAAGCCATCTGCACTATCCCTGAATATGCTGACGCGATGCAGCTTCCCAGTATCGTGTATTCTCTCGCTTTATCTTGCTTACGCAGGACCCTGCATTGCCCTGCTGTGTGAGTACGACGCTCTGCCTGATATAGGCCACGCTTGCGGTCACAACCTGATCGCTGAGGCATCCGTGGGCGCTGCGCTGGCTGTACGTGAGGCCTTGATGAGCAACACAGACATTCGTGGCAAAGTATGAAACTGTTTTTATCGAAGAAAATGTCTTGTGTAGATCATGAGTAAAGATGGAAAAAAAAGAAAAGCTTAGAGTCGCGCGTTGGCAACACGAGTGCTACAAAATGACATATGTAGTTTACACGCGCATTCACCGGGTGAGAATTAAACATTAACAAATGTGAATTAAACGTTAATTGGTGCAGAAAACGAGTGCCAGGTTATTAGACGTAATCAGAGGAAGCATGAAGAGAATCAAGTGTTAATCAAGGTGATATAAAAAATCACGCGTAAATTAGGGTTAATATAGTTTAAGCGCATGTTGACTAGGGTAATCAGATCAGCATCAAGTGTAAATTACCTGTAAATTAATGTCCAGGCGATGTAACGTTAACTAAAGGTGGCTAAAGTATTAATATTAGTGAGTACTAGCAGTGCGTACAGGATTGATTGATATGTGGGGTTTAACGTCCCAAAACCACCGCTGCGTACAGGGTCTTTCATGGGACTGTTCACTGGACTGCAAACAGTGGACGTAAGCGACCGCATATTAAGATTTTGCGCACTGCCCAGTATGCAAGCCAAGCGCAAAGCCTCAGTGGAAGCCTTATCTTGCAGCATTCCATGCTGCAGGTTTGGAAGCATTTCGCTCGCATTTTAGTCAATTGATTGGACATGCGTATTTGAGCAAGAAAACCGCAATGAAGCATATGAGGTACTTTTTGAGAAAGCTAGAGTGTGTTATAATCAAGCATTTGCAATGACCTTGTGGAATCAGAAACCAAAACGTGCAAAAAAGCCATGGAGTGATGAAAGGCTACCGAAACTGATTATGAGAAAAAGAAACTTTACAACGCATTTGTTCAGTCATGGAACTTGGAAGGCATAGTGAGAGTTTGAAAATGATTCAAATAAGTAGAACACTGATCTAAAGTATGCGAAGGGAACATATGATGAAAACCTCTTTATGTAAATAAAAAAAGTTATGATTTTTACGATATGACCAGTAATTTACGAACGCCATACAGTCATAATATGCCGCACCAATTTTAATATAGTAGAGTATAAGGATGAAAGAAACGCAGGGAGGTTAACCATGGCTGAGCCTGGTAGGCTACCTTGCACTGGGAAGAGGGTAAGAGGAATAAAAGTTAGAGAGAGGGAGAGAAGGAGAGAAACGTCACTCATGCCATCGACAAAATGGCAGTTACGTGCGTAACATCACAGACGGTGAGTCACATCTGTGTCTTAATCACTTGAGCACATTCGTTGCATTAACTTGTATGCGTGGTCCCATGCACCCAAAATCTTGCCGATGGTGAAGCTGTGATGGTGCCGCTTGCGTTGTCAAGCAGCAGACTTCTGAAAGCTTGTGGGAACTGGTGTGATGGTGTCAAGCAGTTGCAACACGCTTGGAACTGTCGGTGTCTGCATCTTGCTCAGTACCACGCGCATAACATTGACCAGGTTGCTAACCATGCCGATAAGTTGTCCTTCGTCCATCAAGTTATGAGGTACTGATCAAAATCTGATGCCTCTCATGAGGCGCATGTATCTTTGGGAGTTCGGGCCAAGTGTCACCTGCATAGCTGGTAGAGGCATCATTTTCCTTTAAAAAGGCTGCGTTCTGACTGGGTAATGAGGATGAGGTGTCAGCTCCAATGCTAGCAGAAGCGACTTTGTTCTTAGAACCGACAGCGCTTGGCCAGGGTGGGGGAGGTAGAGGTGGTTTCTTACGTGCTTCGTGAGAAAACGTGGTTTTGGTGGCTTTGGTGCAGCGCCGGCGACGGGACCATCGTCGCGTATTTGATGCAGCTGCTTCTCGGTATGAGATGTAATGTCTGGCCCTTTTCTTCAGCATTGTTAGCTCTTTTCGAATAAAAGGACAGTCCTTCGAAGAGGCATCATGTGGCCCATTGAAGTTTGAGCACTTCAGAGTCGTGGCCTGGTAGGTGTCCTTGATGTGCTCAGTGCATCGAGAACAGGTAGTCGAGTTCGTGCACACACCACTTACGCCACCTAACTTCATGCACTTCCAGCACTGAAGTGGTTTCGGTATAAAAGGGCGAACTGCGTGTCGGAAGTGGCCCACTTTTGCGTGTGATGGAAGTGATTCGCCCTTAAATGTAATTCTTACGCATCGTGATGTCCCGAAACGACATATACTTGTAATGATGACATCTTCCGAAGTCGGCTTAAACAAGACTGGTAGGTGCGAGTTGGTAATGGTTTCGGCACCATCACATATCACCCAGTGCTCATTTCTTTGCCCAGCGGTATGTAAGAGCAGACTTTCATCACATTAAGTTCCGTTACTTCACGCAATCTGTCAAGCGCAGTCCCATGATCGACGTCAATCGCTTGGATGTTCTTGCGGCTATTCACTTTAACTTCCTTTACTTCGCTCGGCACCGGTGCCTCTAGCTGTACAGACAAAGCTTGCCGGTTAAGGCATGTCATGTTGTCACTAGCGAGAACTGGCATGAGAAGGATGGTTAATACCTCGGTATTCCGCGAATATCGCATGGTGGGCTCACTCGAATTGGTGACGTGCTCAGAAATCGTCTCTTTCCCTTGTGTTTTCTCACGAGGTCGAAGTTGTCGTCTGTTGCATGATTTATCACTGCTGATGTTGTAGGGTTCGGTGTCATCACTGTCAGTGCCACTCTTGGAGCTGTAGCGCTTCCTGTAAACGACGCCCGCGGTCATTCTGGTGTCCGGTAGTCTTCCGTAGGGCTCTACCTCCATATAAAATCCCATTAACGATACCATCTCGAGAGCGCCAAGTTGTAGTGGGGAAAACAGATAGCCAGCACGCTCAAATTAAGTCGCCTAAGTTTACTAAGACATGCTTCGCAATAATACGTTGCTCACATTATAGATCCAGTAACCCTTTATATAGTAGAGTGAATGTCCGAAAGTGGCAGTTTTCCGGATCGCTTAAAAATAGAGAGATTATGCTCTATATTAAACGTGGGGACAGAAGACGATTGACCAACTATACAGATAAATATCTGTTTTTCTTGTTTGTTCTAAATAGTTGAGCGTGCAATAAAAAAAAACGCTTGCCCGAATTATTCTCTGCTCCCGATACTGCAAGAATTCGGGATCAATACACTTCAATTAAATCATATGCTGATTTTGGGATGTTAAACACCACCAATTAATATTGTTCCAGCGAACGCCCTCGGTGCTTCGCCAAACTCTAAAATCGACAGTCGGTGGTGTCCCCACGAGCTCCTCCTTTTCTAAGCGTCATAGTCTGTTACTAATAAGCAAAAAGTCAGTTTTGCCTAATTTAACCACCGATGAATAAAAAGCCTGCAGAGTTCAGCGGTAGCTTTCTTACATCGAGAAAGTTGAAGCGGCCTGATATTCTTAACGGGCACTGTTCGATGATCTGCAGCTGGTCGTGCTGGGCACACCGGCGGAGGAGACTGGATGCGGCAAGGAACTGCTGATAAGGAAGGGCGCCCTGGAAGGACTCGACGCAGCACTGATGGCGCACCCGTGTCCATCGGACATCCTGACAATACAGTACTCAGCGTCACAGCAGGTAGGTGCCCGCGCAGGCGCGTGCAAAGATAAAACCGCCCCAGTGTGCGCGAAAATCCACATGTTCGTGTAATCAGATGCAAAACAGCTAATAACGGTACTGAAAGTGCAAAATTGTGATTTTTACATGTTGATTTGATTTCAGAATCAACAAGCAGACAATCAAATCTTCCCACACAATATGACATTCTCGCTTGTGTATGTTGTAAGGCATCCCCGGTTCAAAATATGCTAGCGTAGCAAGGAATAAGAGAAGAAGATGTAAAAAGAAAACCTTTTCCCGAACAAGAGAAACACAAAACAAATAAAAAACTTGCAGAACTAATGAAAAGAAAAAGAGATATATACAGCGTAAAAAGACTGTAAAGTTAGGATTTGCCTCTGCTTTTTCAACCGTCAACATTTTAGACGTGCTGTGATATCAGTACAAGTACAAGAAAAATGAAACACTGCATGACTGCACCAAAAAACATAAACAATGCTCAAAAACAGCACACTTGTTCAGTATTAAGGCCTCCTGCTCAGCTCGAGTAAGTAATATTGAGAGTTTAGCAGGAGGCTCTTCAGTAAACTACGCTAAGTTCGACAGAGTCATGGCTGGACGAAGGCTGGTTCTCACTTCCAAAAGTACATTTCAGAACCAAGCCGGACCGTTTTACTGTAGCCAGGTTCACCACACTTTTAGGCGGATCGGTGAATTTGTATAGATTTCACAGCGTCCTCGCGCAGATGAAGCGATGAATGCGACATAAAGTGTTACACAGAGTAAGGCTTGCAGCTCACTCTCTCACTCACACATAAAACACAAGACGAATGTAGCGATGTTATCCGTTCGCACTTTATTTCGGGACATATCTGCGACAGAGACGGCAGAATCTCACAGTTTCACTCCAAGCGAGGGGAAATGAATGCGATAGCAATGAATTCGCACGTCATATTAAGAGCGGCAACGAGCTTGAAACTTGCTGCTGGTTGCATATATGCACTTAGGACGCTGGAAAAGAACACAAGCCGAGTACGAACTAACAACTGTCACAACTGGACAGTTTTAGCGCGCTGCTCGAACACAAACAAGGATGCACAAAAGGTACATTTAAGTATACACAGGACAAGTGGGAGCTAACCGTCCCAGTTGTTACTTGAACTATCCTTTCCTTGGACTCCTCTCGCAAGCTCTCACTCCTTTCGTAAACACCACCACTGCAGTGAAGGAACTGTGTTGAAGCATGTCACTGTGTTTCTCATATAATTATGCTATATGTTACAGAGTTCATCTTACGATTTTTCAAATATTAAATTTGTGCAACTCAATTTATCACCCTCCCTGTGACGACCCTCAAGTGAGGGTTAACAGTACGACAAATAAATAAATAAAAATAAACTGACATTCGTGCGGTGGTCAGATTGAACGTGAACTTAGTTGGGAAAGCACAAGCCGAAGAAATCTCCCCCTCAGAAAGCAAGTGCGCCAGCAGGGGCTAAATTCAAGTCGGAAGCACTCAGCCCACCTTCGGCCAAACGCTGGACAGCTTTAGTATCGGGTAGCCAAGAAGGTAAGGGCCTCAAAAAAATGCCCCCACCTCCCCGAAGGGAATAGTGAGGAAATGCGACGCCAAGAGTACACGGCCTAGTAATGGGCCAATGGGCGTGCTGAGCACGGAGTTCGGTATCGGCAGCTCACGTAGCTCAAGTTACGTTCGGCCTCATGCGCTCTCTGCTTCGCAGCCTTGTCTTCCACTTCTCTTCCAGTTGATGATGACGTTGAAGCTACTGCAGTGACGTCAGCTCCTGCGAGAAGTGCTGCTCGAGTTGGACTGTGTTACACTATTTGCAAGGGGTACCGTTGCCGTGATACATTCATTCTCACATTCATATGGCAGCACCGGCGCCTGGCGTGGCAACGCCGGCGTGACGCGCCGAAATGAACGCCGGCGAGTACACGCACCGCGTCACGTCGAAATGTATTGGTGCCTTGACTGTGGCATAGTCATGTTCTCACACGACACGCATCTCCTGAATGTCACGTTTGCACCAGTCACATACCTTCGTCATCTATTGACATCACGTAATACCAAATTTTGCATATGTGAAGCTAGCGAAACGGCCGCGAGTGCATGATGATTGTGGCATGTAGTCATGTTGTTACACGACACGCATGTCGTGATTATCATATTTGGTAGTGTTATTTATCTATGTCGTCCGTTCGCGTCGCGTAATACCGAGTTTGGGAGATGATTTAGACTCCAACCAAAAACTTGGAAGAAACCCCGCGTTTTGAAACCGACTTGGTTCCTTCCTCAGCGGTGACAGCGGAGGCTACGTAGCAGCGGCGTCTTCAAAGCACTCGCGGGGTGGATGATGACCCCCTCCCCCCTTTCTCTCGTTTTGCCGTGGAGAGCAGTCCGTGAACATATGTATCACGGGGGAAGGGTTCTGAGAGAACGGTTGATGTTATGGGCTGTCCTCTGTATGTGCCACGAATCGAGTAACAACCTTCTCCTCCAGTTCGGCTCGCTTTCAAGGATGGCCGTCGCTTCAAAATTTATCTGGTGATACAACATCTCAGCATGCTTGGCGACTGCACTGCGCTTTTTTTAGAACTTCCGCACATCGTTGGCGTGTTCCTTCAGTCGTTCCGGTAGGTTTTTCGTCTCGCCTAAGGGCACTCGGCGCACGCAATTTTGTGAATGACACCGTAGGTCCTGTGCATTGTTAGCCGGTCTTTCAGGCGGAGGAGGAGGCGGCCCAGCGTACACGAAGGCACATGCGCGATGCGAACCCCTTCCATCTTGAAGATCCGGGCCAACATTTCGCTGGTTCCCTGAACGTATGGAACCAGTGCGCGTTTCGGGGGGCTGCCAATTAAGGTTGACTGGGGTTTTTGTATCCTCTGTTGCTCTGCGCGGCGGGTGGCTGCTCGAATGAATTTTTTTGAGTATTCGTTTTTTCTGAGGTCTGCAATTACGCGGGCCTCTTCTTTCTTTCGCTCTGTCTAATTAGAGCATAAGTTTCTAGCTCTCTCGAGTAGCGTGGTCACAACTGAGACTTTGTGGCAGGCGGGGTGGGAAGAATCGAATAGAAGGTAGCTGCCAGTGTGCGTTGGCTTTTTATGAGCGGAGAACTCCAAGCCGTTGCGCTTTCTTGCCACGTGGATGTTGAGGAAGTGTTATATGGACGATTGCTTTTGCGTCATTAAGACGTCTGAAGTTGAAAACTTCAGAGAACACCTAAATTTCGTGCACCCAGTCATACAATTCACGGCCGAGTGTGAAAGCGACCACTGCCTGCCCTTTATCGATGTCCAGGTGGCAAGAAAGTGCAACGGGCCGGCTCTTCAAGAAGGAAGGGGTTCGCATCGCGCACGTGCCTTCGTGCACGCTAGGCCGCCTCCTCCCCCGCCCAAAATACCGGCAAACATGGACAGGACCCCCAGCGTCATTTACGAAATTCCATGTGCCGAGTATCCCTCGTCGTATATCTTGAGACGAAAAACCTACTGGAACGACTAAAGAAATACGTCAACGATGTGCGGAAGTTCTAAAAAGAGCGCAGCACAGTCACCGAACTTGCTGAGACGTTGGATCACCAGATAAATTTCGAAGCGATGGCCATCCTTGAAAGCGAGCCGAACTGGAGGAGAAGGTTGTTACTCGATTCGTGGCACATACAGAGGACCGCCGATAACATCAACCGCTCTCTCGGAACCCTTCCCCCAGTGTATACACATGTGCATGGACTGCGCTCCACGGCAAAACGAGAGAGAGAGGGGGGGGTCATTATCAACCCCGTGAGTGCTTCGAAGACGCCGCAGCTACGTAGCCTCCGCTGTCACCCCTGAGGAAGGAACCAAGTCGGTTTCAAAACGTCGGGTTTCTTCAAAGCTTTTGGTTGGAGTAAATCATCTCCCAGTTTCATACGCAACCAGACAGACTTCTGTCGAATCTTTACATTCAATACCGAGATTGGTACATCTGAAGCTAGCGAAACGGCCACGAGCGCATCATGAGAGTTGCATGTAGTCATGTTGTTACATGACACGCATCTCATGTTTATCATGTTTGCACCAGTATCAAACCTTCGTCATCCATTCACGTTTCGTAAAACGAAATTTGGTATAAGTGAAGCTAGTGAAACGACCACCACCGCATCATGAACGTGGCATGTAGTCATGTTGTTACATGACATGCACCTCATGACGGCGCCTACTCTTTTTTTTCAGGGCCTGGGTGAACAGCATATCCACGGAGTGAATTATCATGAGTGAAGGTGAAGTGTCCATCCATTCGTCCATCCATCCGTCCATCCGTTCGTGCGTCCCTCCGTCCGCCTGTCTGGTCATGCGTCCGGTCGTGCATTCGTCCGTCCACGCGTCCGTCCACTTCGCCCCACTCGTCATCATTCACCTCGTGGATATGCTGTGATTTTTTCCCTTGCCGATTGACCACGAGTGGCCTGGTGCTACAACCAATTGAAAACTAGCTTGGGTCGCCAGCAGTACGACACAAATGCAGCGGGGACAACGACGCAGCATGGCCCAGTCCAGAATATTTTAATTTCGCCATGTGTGGCGTCTTGTGTGTTTCACCCAAAGCCCCTTGCGTTTGTATACTGCCGCTAGTAGAGTGTTTGAGAATTGGGGGCCCAAGACACTGAGTCCCCAAGCGGCGTTTCGTAGGGGCCTCTTGCGTTCGGGTGATAGCAGAGTTTTAGAACTGGGTCAAACGCAGGCTGCGTTTGACCAGTGGGCGCCACCCGTGGCCAAATTAAGAGTTATGCGAGACGTGAGTCATACGGCACTGTGGCTCACACTTTGTCTGCTTCATTTCTCTGGAGACAAAAGACGCCTTGGCTGCCCACGCTAGCTTTATTTTTTTTAATTTTTGGGCCTTGAGTCAACACAAACACGTGATCGAAATCGGCTTGGGTTCTGCGCATGCGCTCTCGCACGTCGCAAGCTTCTTGGCTCCCCAAGCTTATGGGCCCGAGTTCTCAAACTCTCTACTATCTAGGATAACACATGGAGCAAGGCAAAACTCGCTAAGGCAGTGCGCTGTGCAGGAAAGAATCACAGCTTCTAAAGTACGGTTGCGCACACACAAAAATTTTCTCCTGAATTATTTTTACTTGTCAGTTTTGCCTATGTATACCTACACGTATATAGATGGTACGTGACGGCGACGGCGAAAACCCCCTGAGAGTGCCAATATAATGGCTATTACAACAAAAATTACGATTACAACAAAAATCGTGATAACGGAGTTAGACCAGAAGAGCAAAAAGGTGGGTCTTAAAATTAATTCGCAGAAAACGAAAGTAATGTACAACAACCTCGGAAAATAGCAGCGCTTCGAGATAGGTAATAGTGCACTTAAATTGTAAAAGACTATGTCTACTTAGGGCAGGCATTAACCGCGGAGCCGAACCACGATATTGAAGTAACTAGAAGAGTAAGAATGGGGTGAAGCACATTTGGCAAGCACTCTCAAATTATGGCAGGTAGATTGCCACTATCCCTCAAGATGAGGGTATATAACAGCTGTATCTTGCCGGTACTTAGCTACGGAGCAGAAACCTGGAGACTTACAAAGAGGGTTCAGCTTAAATTGAGGATGACGCAGCAAGCATTGGATAGAAAAATGGTAGGTGTAAACTTAAGAGAAAAGAATAGAGCAAAGTGAATTAGGGAACAAACGGGGGTTAGGGATATCATAGTTGAAATCAAGAAGAGGAAATGGACATGGTCCGGGCATGTAGCGCGTAGACAGGATAACCGCTGGTCATTAAGGGTAACTAACTGGATTCCCAGAGAAGGCAAGCGGGTTAGGGGGAGAAAGAAGATTAGGTGGGAAGATGAGATTTAGAAGTTTGCCTGTATAAATTGGCAGCAGCAAGCATAAGCAAGCATAGGACCGGGTTGACTGGCGGAGCATGGGAGAGGCTTTTGTTCTGCAGTGGACGTAGTCAGACTGATGATGATGATGATAATGATGACAAGAAAAATGAGGCTGAAGTTTCAAAACAACTGAATCGTCCGAACTTTCTAGAGACCCTTTGATTTTGTGGCGTCCGCTCATTGTGTGCTACCAAGTCTAATGAATTGCCGTTCGCCTAACCTCCTTGTCTATCTCTCTTTTTTCTTTCTCTCTCCCGCTACAGCTGAGATTCCACTTCAAAGGCAAAGCGGCTCATGCAGGAGCGACGCCGTGGGAAGGCGTGAACGCCTTGGACGCTGCCGTCGCTGCCTACACGAATGTCAGCCTCCTACGACAGCAGCTGAAGCCAAACACCTTGATTCACGGTACTAACAGTGCTGAGCTGAGTATGCGTGTTCGCTGCGAGTGTTTGCTGAGTGGCTCATAATCACGTGTGGCACATATTCGCCGCATCGTCTGTTTTCTAAGAAGGCGGTGTTTATAGGGAAGTGATCATTGAAATTATTCGACTTCACGTTCTGTCATGCTCCGGTGTTCTTATTCATAGATTGATATGTGGGGTTTAAAGTACCGAAACCACGATATGATTATAAGAGACGCCTTAGTGGAGGGCTCCGGAAATTTTGACCACCTGGGGTTTTTAACGTGCACCCAAATCTGAGCACACGGGCCTACAGCATTTCCACCTCCATCGGCAATGCAGCCGCCACAGCTGGGATTCGATCCCGCGACCTGCGGGTCAGTAGCCGAGTACCTTAGCCACTAGACCATCGCGGTGGTGGGGGGGGGGGGGTGCTAAAATCACATTTTGTACAATAAACATAAAAAAACAGGAGAACAAACCACTATAGACTGTACACAAGATGTGAACACAACGTACAAGGCAACAATCATAGACTTCCACCAAGCATCATAAAATATAGGTATAGATTTAGCCATCTCAAACAACTACTTCGCTGAAAATGTCCAGTGAGTTGGCGGTGGTGAAATGTGTCAGGGTTCACCAAAAAAAAATCAATCAATATTGTCAAGCACGTTATTCCATTATCTGATGGCACCATGAAACTTCTGGCGAATTAAACGTTAAAGTTTCACCATATAATCATGCAAAACACAGAAGGAGAGAATTAGAATGGTAATACAGAAAGGCAGGGAGGTTTACCGGAAAATAAATATCCAGTTTGTTACCCGCACTTGGCAAAGCGAAATCCCACACCTCGCAGAAAAACTATGCAACCTTTGGGAGGTGAGAGATGGGACATAAAGACGGAACTAGCATGATCAATTAAAGTGTAAATACCAGCGGAATGTAGTTGGTAGAAGGATGTGGCTGTGCATACCTGACGACTGTAGAGGTAACTCAGTATTAAACGAGCTGAGGCTTGCACCCAATAGTTTCTTCATTGTATGTATATGCTAGGCTTGGTTCTCACTGGGCGGAGATTCTTTTAGTAGTAAACCTGTGCTGGGGGCGCCTGACGACATAAGAGTACTTGCACGTGACGCACAGGTTCACAAATGCACTCATTGATGGCGGGACATCCTCGGTCACGGACGAAGCGCCAGCCATGCAGTGATCAAAGAAAATTGCAAAGAAAACACAAAATAACCGCACCTCCGCTGTTTCTGCAGATTTAACGCTGTATAGAGCAAGGGTATTTTGTTGCCATCACTTTTAGTATCATTGTTGATAAATTCATTCAATGCTCGGCTGATCACCCAGCGCAATATTTTACCTAGTATGAAATTACAAGTGCTGCTTAAAGACCCGCGATATCTGCCACGCAGGTGTCATCACGGAAGGTGGCAAGTACCCCAACGTAATCCCCGAGAAGACGGAAATGGTGTTCACCATCCGTGCCCAGGACGCCCAGGGATTGATAGAGCTCCGGCCGAGGGCAGAAGCCTGCTTTCGCGCGGCTGCCGACGCGACTGGCTGCTCGCTGGACATTGAAAGGAAACCGGCGTACATGAACGTGATGCAAAACTCCGTCATCGCTGAAACATACCGGAAACACGCCCACGCTTTTGGTACGTAATCGCTCATTTGCTGTTGACCAGGGCTGGGCAGTATCGAAGATACACGGATCTTACATACTGTCTTCTCTTTGGGTATGACATTGGTTCAACTCCGCTCTTCCGATATGATACTGCGGACACTAAGCCACTTGCGAGGGAAGGCGTTGAGTTGTGCGCGTCACTAGTGGTTGAGCAGTCACCTGAGAGCACTCACGCAATCTGAACAAAAAGTGCGCAAACGTCTACCCGCATTGGGCCTTTCGTTTTCTCGGTATTTTTGTTTTGAATTGATCAATGCCATGACACTGACTCGTAACCACTGTGCTGTTCTGCATGCTCCAATTTATACTGCCTCTTTCGCACAAAGTCTGATGCCGCTCTGTATTAAATGCGAAGCATTTCTTAGCGAATTTTGGCGACATTGACCGTATCTATCTATCTATCTATCTATCTATCTATCTATCTATCTATCTATCTATCTATCTATCTATCTATCTATCTATCTATCTATCTATCTATCTATCTATCTATCTATCTATCTATCTATCTGTCTATCTGTCTATCTATCTATCTATCTATCTATCTATCTATCTATCTATCTATCTATCTATCTATTTATCTGTCTGTCTGTCTGTCTGTCTGTCTGTCTGTCTGTCTATCTGTCTTTCTGTCTGTCTTTCTGTCTGTCTGTCTATCTATCTATCTATCTATCTATCTATCTATCTATCTATCTATCTATCTATCTATCTATCTATCTATCTATCTATCTATCTATCTATCTATCTATCTATCTATCTATCTATCTATCTAGCCGCCTACGACTTTTAGCTCTCCTGCCCGTATCCAAACTTGATATCGCATGACGACTGTAATTGACTTATCATTTTTTCATTCATTCATTTTTATTTCCTTAAGGACCCCACTCGGGGGTATTACATAAGGGGTGGATACACAGGAAAAGAGAACATTTGAACACGTTAGTTTTCGCAGCATAGGCGATTCGTAAGATTTGTCGCGAAGGATGATGGGCAGGTGGTTGAAGCAATGGAGCGGGGAAGGTCGTTCCAATCCTTGACGGCGCGGGGAAAAAAAGAAGCGGAAAAAGCGGCAGTTCTGTTACGATAACGGGACACTTGAAGTGGATGGCTTGTGCGATGTGAAATGTATGTCGGTCCTGATGACTGATGACGTCGGTCCATGGACTGACGCATTATTTGCATAACATGCAAATAATGACTTGTATGCCATAAATGTCATGATTTATATTTCCTTGTCTTGCTGCTGATGCGATGGTTTCAGTCACATGACATTTTGCAAAACTGGTATGGGATTACATGATTGCAGAGCAAACATAAGTAACAGACCCTTACGCGGAAAACATGACATGCTTGTCATGACTTTCATGTTATGACTAGTCATGAATACTCGCCACGCTCACTGTGCGCTCGCGGTCGTTTCACTGTCTTCACATATACCACCTTTGGTATTACGGGACGTGAATGAACGATGAACGCAAATGACATATCCAAACATGACAATCACGAGATAAGTGTCATGTAATAACATGACTACATGTCACACTCATGATGCGCTCGCGGCCCTTTCACTGACTTCACATAAATCAAATATGGTATTACGTAACGTGAATGGACTACGAAGGTAAATTACACGTCCGAACATAATAGTCATGATATCTGTGTCATGTGAAACATGACATGCTACGCTCAAAGCGTGCTCACGGCCGCTTCGGTAGCTCCCCATATATACCGAATTTCGTATCACGTGACGTTCATAGACGATGAAGGTAAATGACACTTCCATACATGATAATCATGACACGGAAGTCATGTACGGCATAATTTACGTCCACCTAGTAACGTTGTGCTCATTTCAGAGTGACATATCAACCTTGCTCACTCGTGCTTCGCATATGATCGACACCTACAGTACGTGGGATATGCAATTTTTTTGTCGTTATCGTACTATCCCTTGCATGGTGCTTCGTTAGGAAGCCCTGGGAATACAAGAATGGAGTTGCTTTACGACTTACGGTTTTCGCACAAAAGCTATCTGAAAGATATCCTAGATACAAGTGTGATTTATGCGTGGTAATACTGATTTGCACGGAAATGGGGCTGTACAAATTATCGCACTATCGGTGTCGATGCTAGATGAAATAGAACAAGGATTGACCTAACAGAATATATATTGGTGTATTATATTTTAGATGCGAAGCAGATATTTGACTCACATGTGTAACGCCATACGTACATGCGGTCGTACGAACGCGCTGCAGCGCATTCTTCTCGCCGCAGGTGTTGCAGCGCCGCCAAGTAGGTCACGGCACGCGTTGACGTCACACTTCCCTCGTAGGCCCGCGTTGACACCGCTCTCTCCCTCACCTGCATGATGCTCGCTGCAGCGCCTGTAGCTGCCAGCTCCTCCGCCCACTCGCAACACACTTTTCTCTCGCTTAACCCTCTCCACCGCGCGCAACGCACGACCGCTCGTCGAATGGACCCACTCTTTCAGTTCGTTTATCTGCGATGAAATTTACATGAAACCCGACCCACCTGCTGTGTCTGTGTTTCAAACAAACCTTTAGTCGAGTAAACGCTGCACCACCTTTTATTTTTTATTTATTTTTTATTTTATTGATACTGTAAGCCTTAACAGGCTCATACAGGAGTGGGAAGAAATTATACAGATTGTCATCTTCACATTTGACCACAGAACAAAAAAAAATAAGGATGAACAGTACAGACTACTCTAAACAAATACAAGTTAGAACTGTACATATAGTGGAAGAACCAAGAAATAAAACAGAATAAAACACCACAGGCTAACAGGGAAGAGTGCATATTAGACACAGATCTGAGAATTGAAACATCGTGTGGCATACAAATCAAAACGTACATTCAATGAAAAGTTGTGCCATTATTCTACAACGCTGCAACTTACTGATCCAAAAACTTTTCAAGATTGGCAGTGAATGATTCGAGAGATTCAGAGGACACTATATCACGTGGCAGGTTATTCCATATTTCTATTACTGACGGAAAGTAGGAATACTTAAATAAATTGCAACGGGAGATGAAAGGCCTGATACTCTTGTCGTGGTTTGTTCTAGCGGAGCGCTGATATGGTGGTTTGAAGTACTCGTGTTTGTTGATGTTAATGTTGTCATGATAAAGCAGATAAAGAAATTTTAATGCAGCTATGCGTCGCCGGATCGCCAGTGTTTGAATGCTTGCCCTATTGCGGAGCGCGGTTATGTTGACATCTCGAGAATACTGAGAATACACAAATCGGAGCGCTTTATTTTGTATTCCCTCCAGCTGGTTAAGAAGGTAAGTTTGATGCGGATTCCAGATTACACTGCCGTATTCGAGGATTGGTCGTACAAGGCATTCATAACTTGTTAGTCTAACTTTAGAAGGGGCTAGAGCGAGTTTCCTGCGAATATATCTCAGCTGTCTGTACGCTTTTGTGCACGTCTGGTTAACGTGAACATCCCATTTTATTGTGTTTGTGATGGTAACGCCCAAATATTTCACCGAAGCGGCCTCTGCTACGTGTAGTCAATTTAAATTATACGCAAATTTTAAGGGTGCTCTCTTTCGGGTTATATGCATATACGAGGTTTTTCCTACGTTTATTTCCATTCCCCATTCTTGACACCAGCTTGAAATGTTAGTTAGAGAGGTATTAAGCCGTAACTGATCGTCGCTTGAAACCATTCTTCCAGCACCCGCATTGACGCCCGTTTCAAACGGGCGAACGCCGTGCGCACCGCTGCTGCTGTGCTTCCACCCAGGATTCCCTTCGAGGAGTTGGTCATAATTTTTTCTGTCTGTTTATTGTGGTAGGTCTTTTGAAACCTGCAGCTATAAAAACATTCTCTGCTTTATTTTTTGTCATATTTTGCGTCATTCTTGTTACATATGTCTATTTCATTTGAGATTGGTGTTACGCCTAGGTGAAGTTCAAGGAAAAACATTCTGGCCGTACCTACTGTATACTATGAACAGTAACAAAAATGCTGTTTGAGGCTTGGTAAAAGATCTTAACTGAGTTCGCAATATAATTACAGAAAAAAACACGGAAGAATGTTTCCTAGATAAGGGGAATGAGAACATAAAACCTAGTTCTCTGTTTTTCTTATGAAGGTCTCCACAAGCAATTGTGTGCTCTTTACAGATGCACTAAATGTTCTATTATGTCCATTCATTATCTAAGTTGAATATTCACCAAACAGAACTGTCATGACTTCTAGAGGTAAAGCCTGTATTGTTTTTTAAAGGGTGTTTCCAGTAACTAGAATAATCTTAAACAAGTGATTGATTTATGCTGGATGAACCCGACATCTGGTTTGACGTCACGAGGCGCTTGTTACAAAGAAAGAGAAAGAAAGTTTACTTGCGCTTCGCGCGGAGCATTGCAAATGATATGGACCCTATTCCAGGACTCCGCTAGCCCATGTCCTCATTTCTGCCCGTTGGATCAGCCAAATCTAATCGTCAAAGGCGAGCTGAACTGCAGTGCCTCCAATTGTTCGTCTGTGTTGTTCATGGTGCGGCGTTTGTCAGTTTAAAGTGTACACTACAGCAAGAGAAGCCTACGTCCGTGAAAATACAAAATATTTGAATATGGTGTGATCTGCAGACGATTGACCATATCAGTCAAACAAAAATAACATGGTGGCCGTGGTCTGAGACCAAAAAGGAGGCATTACAAGCTGTGCCCTCATAGCTCAAGCCCCCGTTACAGAAGTGGAGGAGATAGCAATCGCGCTGGCAAATAAGGAGGGAAGGGAGCAAAAAGCCGCACCGAATATCATCACAGATTAGAAGGCTGCCTGTGGGAAATACAAAAGGTTTAGAATTGTAGCGAGAACATGTAATAGGCTCACAGAATCGTTCTAGTAAAAGCTGAAGACGTACGATTCTTCACACAGCGAGATAAGCGCGCGCACGCGTGAGCGTCTACCCCCCCCCCCCCTCCCCAGGCAAAGTACGCGTGGGATATGAACGGAGCGTCCACCCCCCTCTCCACAGGGCAAAGTACGCGTGATAGATGAACGGACCAGCGCACGTCGCCACGTCTGGATGATCTGGTGACGCGCGCTCATTGCGGCATCTCGCTGATAATGCTGAAGACATGATAGTTCCGCCGTGATCGCCATCGGCTGCGGTAAGTGGTAGATATAAATAGCTTGCCCTTTAAACGTTGAAAGAGGTGTCCCTTCTTGGCTAACACCACGCACTCACAAACAAGAGGTTGGACGTTGGATACCGCGCGGCGGAGTCTTTTTCAGGAGTACTTTTCTTTCCTGCATTTCATATATATTGATACGCATACAGATACGGTGAGCAACGGCGACGCCGGCGGCAATATCCAATCTAGTGTGTCCATATAATTGCTATCGCAACAAAACTAGCAAGCGCATAGCAGCTGCGCTGTCAAGCTGCATCCGCCGCAATAACTAGGGCACACTCGCTTTCGGTCTCCGCAGAGACTTCCCCTACTGGTGACGCCGCAGCGGCAGCCCGGAGACATAGGCGCGTCTTGCGGTATCCGCTCCCTGCTGCAGACCCCACCGTGTGTTTTAGATGCGGAGCATCTAATACTCGAGGCTTGTAGTGCGGCGCCGTCCGCAAGCTTCCTCCTCCTTCTTCCACCATCTGTGCATCCCTTCCTCCTCTACACACCGCGCGCGCTTCACTCCTCCACCATCTGTGCACCCTTCCTCCTCTACACACCGCGTGCGCTTCTCCTCTTCACGAACATTCGCTAGCTGTATAATGTAGTGCGCATGCGCGTCACGCTTCGAGAACATCGGCAGCTGACGCGCGCGCATGCGCCGTTGCACTTCTCCCCCTTCTCGAACATTCGACAGCTGACAGTGCATGCGCCGTCGCGCTGTATATATATACTCAAGGTCGGTGCTCGCTCGCTCAGTTGCCGCTTGTCGGTTGGTTTGTACGGCGCGTCGACGTCCGAGGTCGCAATGATCGACGTCCCTTCGACCAGCGCCGGCCAAAGTGTTGGCGGAACCGCAACCAAGTCGTCGTCCGAAGACAAGGCAGCGCGGAGAAGAGCTCACGACGCCGAACGTAAACGTCGGCGTCGAGCGGAAGATTCTCAACTTAGAGAACGTGAAGCCGCTGAGAGACGTCAGCGTCGAGCAGCAGCACCAGATTCGGCAGCTTTGAAACGTAAGCGTCGACAAGAGGACCCGGACTTTCGAAAACGGGAAGCCGAGTGCAAGCGTCGGCGACGAGAGGCCGAACCACGTTAACCAATTTAGCCATCGACCCAAGTAAGTCGCACTTTAACACCCCGTTAACCAATTATATGCTCCGCATCCTCCTCTGTGTTCCCCCGAGGGAAGCTGCGGGCAATTTTTTTTTGATGGAGCAGCCGTGATTCGTGGACTTTAGGGGGGAAGCTTCTTAGGCCGTGGATCGTGTGTCCCCAATGTATGAAGTAGTAGTAGCAGTAGTAGTAGGAGGAGGATGAGTAACAGTAGGTAGCCACCTCGGAATGTCCGCTGGATGGCGGTACTTGTATATGATGATTATATAACAAAAAATGCGAATTTGCGGTACTCAGAGTGTTCACTAGACGGACGGACGGACGGACGGACGGCCAGACAGACAGACAGACAGACAGACAGACAGACAGACAGACAGACAGACAGACAGACAGACGCACGAACAGATGGATGGAAGCACAGACGAACGGACGCACGGATGGACGCGTGGATGCTCGAACGAATGCACAGACGGACGGACAGACGGACGGACAGACGGGCGGACGGATGAACCGACAGACACACGGACGGACGCATGGACTGACGCAAGCAAGAACGAACGGACAGAGGGACGCTTCGCGCCACTCATCACCATTCACTCCGTGGATATATGCTGTTTTTTCTTGCTTTCTTTCATACTTATAGCGAGCCCTACTGTGCGCAACGAAGGGTATAGGTACGCAGAGGGTTGTGCATTAGGAGCAAAAGAGGTTTCGCTCCGTCTCCCCCTTTCGCCGCTTCTATTGGTTGAGTCTGCAAGAAAAAATGCACTGCAGATAAATGCAAGTATGATAATAAAGAGACAAGCTATTTCTCATGGCGGCTTGCCTTTGAACCCCAACATTTCTGGAGCAAAGGTGGGGAGTGAGTGGCACTTGGAATCAGGGGTGTGCCAATAGTGAAATTTCATATCGAATGCAATAAAACCGAACAACGGACAAAAGTATCGAATAACGGATGAAATACCAAAAATACAAAAACGCACGAAGAAAATAAAAAAGAGCGAAGAAACGACGTCTGCTCATGTCCTCGAGCACATAACTTGGCGAGTAAGGGCTACGGAAATGTTACAAAATACCACGCAGAAACGCAAGTTGTTCCATACGATGTGGCGTCAGGTCCTCTGACCGTGTCGTGACAGTGTTTTCCACGCTTCAAAACACGGGCTGAGGCGATCGTATTTTCTGAACGAGTGGCGCGGTGCGGCAGTAGCTACAAAGTTCCACCCTTGTGGAATGTCGCAGTTTAGGTTTTTGCCCAGTCGAATTATTCGAAACTTGGCAGACTAGGTGTTAGAAAGCTTAATTCAAAACTCTTATAACCGCAAAACCCCTCGGAAGACACCGCAACGACACCTGGAGTGTCATTGCCATCGAAAATGTGGCTAAACACACTACCGCCTATTTAATAGTGACAAAACAGGTCCGACATTCGAAATGTATGAGGCAAACGAGGCACCAACCTTTGATGATTGTGTAGAAGGGGCGTTAGCGATAGAGGGAACTATAATCACAACAAAAGCAACACACAGAAGCAAATCCTTTCCTGTGTACCCTTCGTGTTTCCACGGTTTTCACAGCTGTCCCACTCTTTTCAAATACTACAAGCTTGCAGAGATATAACTTCTTCACAATGCGTACTTGTTGTCAACATTTAAAATGAGCTGTCGGTCGATAACACTGTGGCTGCCTTTTAGTCCACGCTACAGTTGCGTATAACTCCAGTAGTCCCTGTAAGTATCTCCACAAAGGCTGATGCGCGCGACCGTGCCTCCGTGGGCTCGCACTCCTGATTCACGTCACGAGAAAGGCGGCTAATCGCCACGCTTTTGAGTACAGTTCCCGGTGCTTGAGCAGGGCTATTTTTTAGTCACTGATGCGATCGACGGCCGTGCTTCGGTCATATGGGCTGGGCCTCTCCGGACGTCTCAATATGTATCAGACTATAGGCGCCCGGCGTTGCAGTTTACGAGATCTGATGATAGCGCCAAAACACACAGCGTAGCGGATAGACGCAGCAAAACCGAGTCTTTCAATGCGTAGCCTAGCGAGTAGACGCAGCAAAACCAAACTTGCACGTGCATAATTTTCTTTTAGGGGCGAAGCTCCTTAGGGCGTGGGCTGTGCGTCCCCTGTAGCCTGTATGTAGCCACCTCTAGTTTAGTTCTTGCAGTGTTCACTAGATGGCGGTACCGTCCCCTGTATGTAGCCACCTCTAGTTTAGTTCTTGCAGTGTTCACTAGATGGCGGTACCGTCTCCTGCATGTAGCCACCTCTCGTTTAGTTCTTGTAGTGTTTACTAGATGGTGGTACTTGTAGCTGATGATGAAAAGATGCAAGATGTTATAAACTAGAAAGCGGTACTTGTAGTTGATGAAAGACGCGAGATCTTATAAAATAGGAATGATGTCACATATGGCGCGTGTCATTGGTTGAAGGCAATCGTTCGATTTAGTGCGGCGACGTACGCTAGGGGGAGCGTTGTAATAAAATCCGTTCGCTGTTGGCGCGCGCTCGGAGTCACCGGATGGATAAGGCTGCACAGCGGAGAGAGCGCAAGGCGGCAGCAGCGCGCGCTCGCAGACAGAATCCCGATGTGCGAGCGCGCGAGGCAAGGGACATCGCAAGCCATCCATCGTCTAAGAACAAATAAAAGTTGATTTGTGTATATACACACACAGCGTTTCTCACGTCTTTACATGATGATCGACTGGGCGAATTACACGGAAGATTCACAGTTTACCGATGAATCCCTCCGGAGCTTCGCCCATTCATCATCATTCACCCCGTGAATATGCCGTAATTTTTTTTAGTTGTGAGCAAGCCGTCACGGCTGATAATGCAAGCGCCAGGAAGCGTTCTTTGGAAACGTGCCAGAAAGGGCACTGACACTTCAGCGTGTCCCTGTGTTCAGTGAGCGTTCCATTTTGTTAGAATCCCTAGCGGTCGGTACCAACAATGCTGAGGCGGCCCAAAGTAAGGTCCCTAGAGTAAGGTCCCTTGTTTCATCTAGGGACCTTAGTCCAAAGAGCTTTGTCGCGCCCCCTGGTCCACTGTTAGGTGCCTATAATCCAGTCTATAGCCCCAGACTGACATTGACTGCCTGTGTGTGTATTTGATAGACATTTCGATTGCGGTAACAGTATGTTTATACAAAGCTATGTTTCGTTCCTTGCCGTGCAGGCGTGTCCTTCCTGGATGACGTCCTGAAGAACATACCGCCTTCTGGAGGCTGTACGGACTGTGGCAACGTGTCGTACCGGGTGCCCACCATTCACCCGCTGTTCGCTCTCGGCGCCCACGAGGGATCGGTGAACCACACGCGGGGTTTCGCCGCCGTAGCCAACGCAGCCGACTCCCAGCCGCCCACGCTGAGGGCGGCCAAGATCCTGGCACTGACTGCGCTCGATCTGCTCAGCGACGCCGAACTATTGCGCGAAGCGAAGCGGGAGTTTGCAGCTCTGAAGCTTCCGTCGGAAGAGGAGCTGCAAACGGCGCTGTAGGGAAGAGGGGGAGTTTTAGCCGCAGCTGAGGAAACGTTTCGGCACTGCCGTGGTTCGAAGGGACACCAAAGAAGAAGACTTTATTAGTATCGGTAAAGTATTCCTTCTGAACACTAAGATCACCACGCTTGCCACGACAAGTCCATTCGCAAGCGATAAAGAACGCAAATATAAAATGTGGGTGGTGACGCCGGATAGAAGTTTCCGCATCAATAGCCGTTACGTCATCGATTTCGACGGCATCTATATTCGGGCCTATGAAGCCCTTAGTCGGTAAATGATGAGTCCATTTTCGTACAAGTAGGCCAGTGACTTAGGATACCAATTTTCAAAGTATTTCGTAGAACTAATGTAACTAAAGCAGGAACAAAACTAATTCGAAATACCGTGATGTCACCAGCAGCGATACCCGCACAAGATCTTGAAAACTTGGGTGTCGATTTTTGCCTATGATGGCGAAAATAGTGGTATTAGTGAAATCAGAGCACCGTTTATGAAACCGAACCGATTCACTGTTTTTCTTTGCTGCACTCTAAAAAAAGATCGAGTAAAAAGGGTGTCTTTTTGTCTCAAAACGATAATCGTTATCCGGCTTGCTTGCGCTTACTTTTTTGAATTGAGCGCTGGCCGCTTTCATATCAAAAACGATAAGTCGAGTCGATAGCGCACACGCCATCGGTGACCTCAAAGTGCCAGGCACCCGGCGATAATGCAAAGAAAACGATCGCAATACAGATTACGATTACTGTGGAGTGACAAAGACATCGCTTTTAGATACCAAGCATCTTGATTATTTGATGTGTGGGGTAAAACGTCCCAAATCTACCATATGATTATGAAAGACGCTGAAGTAGAGGGTTCCGGAAATTAAAGCACCTGGGGTTCTTTAACGTGCACCCAAATCTGGACACATAGACCTACAGTATTTTTGCCTCCATCGAAAATACAGCCACGACAGCCGGGATTTCATCCCGCGACCTGCGGTTCAGCAGCCGAGTACCTTAGCCACTAGACCACCGTGGCGGGGCACTTCAAACGCTTAAAGTATGAAATGTTTTCGAACTTGCTATGAAAGCGCTACGTTGCCTTCAGGGTGCAAGCGTGTGCGCCTTTTGTGTACAGTGGGTGACTGGCTTTAAACTATGAATTGCAACAGAACCGAGCAGCTATGAAGCAGACACTATGAAGTCATGATAATTCAATGTTCTGACTCCCGATGGCAATGTACCCTAGTCCCATGCATTGTTACGACAGTACTTCATGTTGTATTGTGAAATATGTACACGGGGCGCGCGTGCTTGTAAAGCATGAACGTTACTTTCACTGCATTTCCAAAGAGATGAAGCTATTTTCACTATATTCAGAACCAGATGCATTAAAAGAAAAAAAAAGAGGCATGGCTGTGTCGGAGAAAACCCGCGTGCCTCGCAATCGACACGTGTTCGATTTCCACTCAGACCCAGAATTTTTATTATTTTATTTGAATTTTTCGGTACCGCAAAAATGTTGATTTTTGCTCCCAACAGACGATGCCAACGCCGGCACTTCTGTGAAACTAGCTCTTTACCTCTATCGTTGACGGTGTCACCTGCATTTCACTACATTCGCTTTTAGGATGCTAGTGGTTTATGTGACAAGTGAACGGATAGTATTGAATTAGTGAATATGCCGACTTCTTCTTTACCATATATCTCGATATAGAAGAGCAGGGTCACTACTTTTTATTGGCGTAATTTTTGCAAAGTCATCATTCAACAGTACAAACACCGAGTCTTTGTGTATAAAACTGCTGCTTATGTCAGTAATTTATGTTGAAATCTCAAGAAATAAAATTTTAAATAAGTGCTCGGGCTGTACATGTTTTTTATTTTCCCCGAAAGTCTTTTTATTTTAGTACTTTAAAGGAACCCTGACACGGTTTTGACAATTTTTAAAACACATTTGGCCGGTATACGAAGTTCCAAGGGCCATTTTGAGACCAATTTGAGCTATCTGCGTAAACTGTGTAATTTATTACAACGCTTTAAAGCTGCGAATCGCTTCAGATCGCTGCAGATCGCAGCGACTCGGCCAAACGTGTTTTCAACCCCCCACACAGCAAGCGACATGCTCTGCCCCATTGACATCATCAGTTCTAGCAGATCCGATTGGTTGTGCAACGTGCAGTACAAACTGTCGGTATCGGATTGGTGGCGGTATTTACGCGTATGCGGTCTCACGCCACATCGTGACGTAGGCGCCGTGAACGCGGAGCTTAGCCCCGAGCGCTCAAAATATGAGTTGAGGGCAGTTGAGTGTGATAAGTGGAGCGGAGGAGGTGGGTACTCTTTTTGTACTTGCCGCTCCGTCAATAATGGGTGTTTCAAGCGAACTCTGGTGCCAATGATTTGATCTATGAGTGGCCTAATCAAAAACGAAATGTGTAAAAATCGTTTCAGTGACACTTTATATGGAAATGTAAAAGCAGTTTTTATATACGCGTGGCTACTGATGGCTGCGCTTACGACCATTGGCTGAAGTTTATTTACTTATTTATTTATTTGCAATGCTGCTAACCCCAATGGTAGGGGCTGTAGCAGGGTGGTACAAACATATAACAAGGTTTCTCAATATAGACAGTGAATATACACAATACAAAATTCAAGTAAAAAGACAACGGGAAATGTCAGATATATACAATAGGAAATAGAAAGCAATATAGGCAAGCTTGTCGTAGTATAAAATAGATAAAGGGTTACAATTCAAGCACAGCCTCAAATTCGTCACAATCAGCAACCTCAACAACAAAACAAACAACAAACTACATCTTGATTATCAAGTTCATTGCACTCACTCACAGTTGACCAAACTTTGACTAGTTCCTAAAACTTTTCTGCTTATTTTTTTTTTCACATGGCAACCCCTTGTAGTGGGCCCTCCGAAGCTGCTCTTGCAGTAGGCATTCAGGATAGCTTGAAATGGGCATTGTTTTGCGCACAGACGATTCTTCCCCAGCGGCACAAGTAGTTGGCATGCACACCGAGATGCAAATCGAGGATAGTGATTGAGAAGGCGACGGGAATGCGGCCCGATCACGCAGCCTACTAATCGCTGCCGCCTTTCGAGTGTCGAACGCTATCACTTCGAAAGGGGAGCGCAAGGGTCGTCCAAGTTATTTCTTGTGCTGGACTCTGCCCTTCTGGTATTTCGCGTGGCTTATCGAGAGCCGTAGTGCGTTTGCCAGAGGAGAAGTTACGTCACATGGTACACAGCTGGCGCACTGGAGAAGACTTGCAGGGGTGTGACTACCCGTATTATGCTTTAGGGGCAAGTATATGTCGCATTAAAAAACAGGACTACCTATTTTGCGAGAACGAAGGCCTCTGAGATAAACACACATATCGTGACTTTTCTGTTAGGGGAATGTGCGAATGAGCAGTAGCACCACGAAGAAACAGGAATTGGCGCCATGGGACACGTAGAGCTGATAATGATATTGATGACTTAGATCAATAACTCAAACCACCCCTGGATACTGGGCAATCAAGAAACGAATAAAGTGATGATGATGATGAATAAACTTTATTCTCGTATCCGGCATGTTTGTGGTCCGGTCTAGACCGCACAAGGAGGTACCGGAAGACCTTGTCTCTGTACAGTCTCCCTGGCCTGCTGGATAGCCCATTTTTGATCTTGAACCTCCGAGCTGAGCATCACAAGCCGCCACTGCTCCCGGAGGACCTCAGAAGAACTTGTTGATAAGTTGCGGCATTCCCATAATACATATTTGTAAGACGCCTTTTCTGTTACGCATAGCTTACATTTTTTGTCCCGGTATAAGTGTGGATAGCTCCTGTGGAGGTGCACAGGGTTCGGGTAGCAGTTCGTCTCTAGCTGTCGGTATTCCGATGCTTCCTGCCTGTTTAGACTTGGGTGAGGTACGGGAAAGACGCGCCTTGCTTCTCTGTAGTGTTGCATGTATTCTGCGTAGCTTGTAAATCGGTCTTTGTGTGTTACGTCGGTGGCGCCAGCGATGATCACCGAGTGGTGTGGTCGGGTTGCGCGGCGGGTCGCGACAACTCATGAGCCAGCTCGTTAGGATTGGGTGTATCATTCTCTGTGTGCGCCGGGAACCATGCGAGGTATTTGGGTTCGTCTACTTTGTGTAGTTCTTGGTTATTAAAGAGGATTCTGAGGGCTTGATGTGAAATCCGTCCTTGCGTGAAATTTCTGATTGCTATTTGCGAATCACTCAGTATGAATGAGTGTTTGTTGGAGGTGATAGCCATGGCTATGGCTACCTCCTCAGCCTACTCTATATTGTTTGTTATGACAGAGCACGCAATAATACAAATGCCGGACGTGTCAATCAAGACAGCAGTGTGAGTTTTTTGTTCAGGGTATGGGCTAGCTCCTACAAAAAGCGATTTTCTGTTCGTGACGTGTGCTTTGAGCAGTGCTTTTGCTCGGTGTTGTCTGCGGTCCGTGTTGATTATGGGGTTCATGTTTTTCGGTATCGGGTTAGAGACGATCTTAACTCTGATTGTATTGGGGATGTCACGTTTGACGCCATGTTGCGCATGGTACATGATTCCTAATCTACTCATTATATTTCTTCCCGTTTTAGTTTTAGTGAGCCTTTCAAGCTGGGATATCCGCTGTGCTTCTAACGAGTAAGGTTATCGTTTTTTCTTTAGCACGAAAGTTTTACGCCAAGGTCCACCAAAACATTGATGACGTATTCATGTCAGGGAAATACGTCATAAAAGCGAACGGCAAAGAAGAAAAAACGTGATAAAAAACATGTCCTGTTGCTGGTAGTCAAACCTATGACCTTTTGGTCCACTACGACGGCTGGCTGGCGGGTAACACAATACGCCGCTGCCAAGACCATCAAGGAGGATTCACGAACGTGCATTTCATGTTTCACGGTGCTGTTAATGGCATGGTGGTGTCGGCACCAGAAAAAGAAAGAGACAAGTTATGCGTGACTTCAGCAATCAGCTCAGACAAAGTGTCCTTGCTTCCACCATCCCATTTGACAGGTTTCCAATGGAAGTATAATTCTGTCAACGTTAATGCACATTAAAATACAGCTTTCCTACACTCCCCTGGCAGTCGCACCGAGTTCTGCG